AATTATTGACTGTTGGAGGGTTATTGGAATTACATACACTTCCTCAGCCTACGACTTAACAGATCCTTGTGATTATTATTTAACGTACTTATTGTATGCTAAATACTAATAAAAAAAGATACGCCGGAGACTCGTTATTATGTGGTTGAGCTTGACTTTATCGAAACAACAGAATTGGAGAACAGAAGGAGAATACCTGAAAACAAGAGAAGTAAGGAATTCAATTACAATGTCTTCAAATCGAACCCCAACCCCTGCTGGTCTCCTCCCCGGAGGCTACATGTGGGAATTCCCTGTTCTGCTGCCCTCCTCTCCCCTAAGGCCAATTAATCGATCGAGTTTATTTGTTTGCAAAAAATATTAATACGTTTTACTTATTTATTAACATCAATTTTTGTCCGTTATTGTTGTTGTGTTGTTTGTTATGAAAATCGCAAGGGTGTCTGTTTGGATTTTAGACACGGTTAAAAACTACAGGTTTGGAAACTAAAAAGCCAATTTGAACTCATTATCGTTACGTTATCCTTGATTGTTCCAAACACATGCTTAGTCAAAACTACAGGTTTGGAAACTAAAAAGCCATCACAAACTTTCCAAATTTGAAAAGACATGCACAGTTACCACGACCCATTTATCAAACTTAATAACTTTAACTTAATACTTCAGGCTTTCCTGTGGTAATGAAATTATTATAATTGGAGAAATGAGACAATATACAAGGTTTTTGCAATCTGAATTGATCCAGTAGTTAAAATATAATCTCAACTCAGTAACAAGTGTGTTTTAGGAACAATTATTTTCCACCACGTAAAATATATTAAGATTAAGTAGCATTCGGTTCATATTTAAATCTACATTTTAGTGTCAACAATACAATGAAGTTATCTGGGTTAAGTACTGAGATTGTTCGAGAACTGAGAACATAACAATCGTCAATGACAGTTAAGATGAAAATTAAGATAATACCATAGTCACTTGCAGTACAAAACGGATAAAGACATCCGAAACTATCATGGTTCTTAAGTAGTTTATAAGAATCATAATGTATTTGCAATTCAAAGCCATTGTCTCGATACTTTATACAGTGATTTAAAATTCTTAGTATACTTTACAATACGTACTTACGTAATACTTTTCAATACGTGAATAGAAGGAATAGAATATTAACTGAGCAATTTCAAACCAATTTTTTAAAACAAACCCCTTAAGTAGTTCTTTTAAATCCTTTTAACACGAGTAGATAAACTCATACACGTATACTGTAAAATTACACGTATCGATAAAAAAACAGTATCAAATGGTGGTATCACAGGAAATATTAAAGTATTAAGGTTTCAATACTTTAAGTAGGTGGAATGTGTTGTATAACGACCTATTATTGTTAACTTTTGTTAACTCCGATCGACTACATCAATGAAATTGACTAAGTTGCTGAATATCTGAGGTTGGCCGCCAAAGTTCCTACTCTGATAAGCCGAGGGATTAAGTAGCAAGTTGTGTGAGTTGCGGGGACTGAACTGCTAAGTCTAGCAATACACGGGGAACTTGGAAATGTTATGTTATAGAGAACAAGTCAATAGAATCAATCACTAAGGCAAGCTATCAAAAATTTCTTTTTATCAGTTTAATCAGTATAATTTCACAAATCTATACATAAATTATGGTGCAAATAAGACTTTAATTCTACGTGATAACTGTTAAAGGTGACCCATTTCTGAGTTAAACTTTATGAATCTAGCGATTGAAATATTAACAGAAAAAGTGGCTGTAAAAATGAAGTTGATTCGATAAATTAAAGCAATACTGTGTAAATATTTGTAATTTATGATATTGTAAAATACGTACATACATACTAAATATTTGAAAATGTTAAATGCAACATAAAACTCATATAGAAATCAATTGGCTGAATCAGACTTTGAAGATGTCCCCACAAAGCAAATATTTTCTCAGAGGACGAAAGAAATACAAAGTTCGGCGAAAGGTATTGGCTCACTTAATACTGGATAAACATTGTTAGGACGACCAAATAACAGAAGAGTTTGGGTTGTCGTTTAAAACAAAAAATGTATATTATATGATACAAATATTAGTGAACCCACCATGGGCTACAAACTATTAAAACTAAAATAGTTTTTAAAATATTTTTATTTTACTGTAGTTACACTTTCTCCGAAAACCTCATTGAACGCAGGGATACATTTTTAGTGCTTATTTTCTGTAAATTTCAAACTAAATCAAATGTTACAATATATGAACCACCTAACTACAGGACAGGAAGGCAAGCAATATAACCACTCACAACTCACTATCTTTTGTTAATTTTAAAATTTATTTTTGTATTTTAAGTAGATTCTAAACAATTGCCTACTACAACGTTGCAACCTACCTCAACTAACTTGAAATAAATGTTTAACGTAACTAAACTCAACTACTTTGACGGGACATGTATATAATATATATATATATATAAAGTAATATACATGTACCAATGTACCAATGTATGTAGAACTACCGTAGCGACATGCACTTCAAGCGCATTTCAACACACCAGTAGCATTAAACGGGGTTAAATCGCTAGGAACTAATGTTATTGGCATGTTGTTCAAACAACGGAAATGCAGCATTTGCATGCTTTATACATTCCACCCAATGCCTGGTATTTACCTAGTGGGTGGTATGCGTAAATGCGTTAAGTCTTGTCATAGATAAAACATAGGTCTTATAGTAAATAGGCTAACTAATTTTAAAACTGTTTTAGACCACACCCTATGCTGAAAGACTTTCCAGTGTGAGCAGGAGTCATGTAAAAATTTCAATTTTTTAATGCTTTTATTTTCAAACATGTTTACTTGAAATCGTGTATAATGCTTAACACTTTGACTCCTGAATACCCGCTCCCGCTATACCAACTGGTGAATTGGCAATATTGTATTTTCATCAGCAGATATGGATGTTAATGTAATCTTTTATTTAACATTTGTATTCAAAAATACTTTCTGAAAAAGAACTTGTATTTACATGTTATAATTATTTTATTATATTATTATTATATTATTATTATATTATTATGTTATTATATTTAGATCATTGAAAATGTGTATTTTGATTTGATTTACCGATACATTTTGATTTCGTATTGTTCACAAATACGATATAGTCAGATATCAAAGTTTCAATAAAATAATAAATGACTCTAGCGTAAGTTCGCAGCAAATAAAATAGGAGACATACGTAAAAAAGGTCACCAAAACAAGTTTCTCCTTGTAAATTCTGTCAAACAAACGAATGTTTAATACTTCTTTGGTGGATTTGAAAGGATAATTTATAACAACAAAACACATCCAACCCATCGTTTGGATCTTTATGTCTCAAAGTGTAGTCTACAGTACCTATATGATGTAATGTATGAATCTAATGAGTTAAAATATAAGAATGAACTGTTTTAACATAGCTGGCCTTAACCCTTTACAAAATTTGCGTGGTAAGATTATTACAAACAGGGGGTCATTTCATAATAAACTACAAGTTAAAAGTTACAACTTGTAATTTGTAATTTCCATTAGATTTGCATTGGGTGATCAGCTGATTTACTATTAATATTAGCAAAGATTACATATGCTAACGCAATGTACTTTTTGCGTTAGCATATGTAATCTTTGATATTAGTTTGTACTTTATTATGAGGGCCCCAGTTTGTCTATAACATAGTTACTTGTGATTTCAAGTTACTTGTTTCTTGCCAATTTACAATAAATGAATTCTTTTGGTCTACAATATTGTCATAACCAACTCTATGCTTCAGCTGATCCATGAGGAGGGAAATAAATCTAAGGATTCGTATATTTAATCCAAGCTGAAACTACGAACACACACAATAAACATCTAAAATCATTTTAAATTATGTGTGTGCTGCAATTTTTTACATGTTTAAAATTTCAAAACTTTGCAATTGTATTGTTTCTGGAAAAAAATATTCGCTATAAGTAAGGATGGTTCTATTTATTTACACAGTACACACAACCAATAATTTTTCATCTCATTCAAATGAGAATAATATAGTTTCGGGGTGATGTCAAGTTCTAAATTCAATGACACGACTAATGGAATGATTGACGATTCAATAAAATTATAGATAAAACATACTCCCTTAGTAGATTCCCCATCCTTATGGAACACTTGAACACTTATCGTTCGTTCTGTCCGGTGCACTGTAGATGTCGTGTTTGGTTTACAATTTGTTTCTTGTCATTACAGTAATTTAAAATCCCGTTTGACCAAATAAAACTAAATAATCATAAACAATAACTCATCCTCTAGTTATATAACCAATAACCAAACAATAAAGCACGAATCATAAAATTAATTCTAAAATAATAGACCCTAAATTTACATATTTTTTTTACTTGAATGCCTTGCTCTGTTCAGGGGCGCAAGAGATTTTATGGGTTGTCGGGGGTTCAAGGAAGAATAAAATTGCCTTGCAGGAAGGGGGGGGGCACAATTATCTATTGGGCCCCATAAAAGTTGTTAACACTCAAAACTGCGTAGTTTCATGGGTAGTAATAGAGCATAGATTTATCTAAATGAAAGAAACTGTCATCACCTACGACCGTCTACGTGCAGAAATTCCGTGCATTTACTCCGCATGAGCGTAAGAAAATAAACCTATCCAACCTGACCCAACAACTTGAAAACACGACCTGCAAACGTAATCTAAATATATGCCTACAGTAATTATAAATTAACTATAATTGCCACAGTAATTATAAATTATGAATTAAGTGCGCAGCGGAGTAAACTCTTCGGCAGTAATGGAGCATCTAGACGGGTTAGTTCCAAAGTAGCAGAAACCTTTACATTAGTAGTAACCAGTAACAGGAGCTGTTACACTGCATTTCTGCATGTAGACGGTCGTAAATTTAATTTCGTCGCATCTCCTCCATCTCCTCGCCTCGCATCGTCTCGTCTGTTATCTGTTACTGTTAGTTCTGTTCTGTTCTGTTGTTTTGATCATAGTTGTCAATTTTAATTGTCATCATTATCGCTTTGTTGTTTTGATCCAGGTTTAGAAACTAAGTAAAGTCTTAGGAAATTAGAAACCTTATCCACTAAACCTCCTCATTTATTATTAATTTAAGGTAGGCCTACCTCTATTTATCCTCAACCGAGCGACCTAAACATTCTGTGATGCCAATAAACAAGATTCATGATTTGGGTAAGTAGGTTTTTGATAATACAGTTGAGTATTCAGTAGCTTTAACTTACTAAGTTATCCTATAGGCTATGTACTATTTTAATACCTCAAAAAGAATACTCAACAAGAGAAAAAAATTTAACCTAGGCATCAGGTGAGCATCTTGTCCTTTGCATTTGTAGGCCTAGGCTATAGCCTATAACTTAAAAATAAGTTTAGCTGAAAACCGTACAAACCTATTTTATCTAATTTAGATATTTCCTGGATCAACAGCATAGAAGTCAACGATTCTGAAATAAAAACCAAAGTGGCAACAGCAAGTTTTACCTCCAAAAATAATATTGCTGAAAAATCAAATGAAGACTGGTTAAAAAAATCGTTAACCTGTGTTGATTTATCGTTACTGGTCGGAAACGAAACTCCAGCTTCAATTGAAAAGCTATGCCAGCAGGTAACGTTTTAATGTTATTTTTAATTAAAATAAGTGGGCTATTATCGATAGCACATAAGTTAAGTCCTATCACGGCGGGCCTAACATAACTTATTTATTAATAAAATTTTGAAAAGCTAGGCCTAATAATAGTCCTAAGCGTACAGCATTAATTTTATTCCTGTTTTGAATTTACCTAAATGTAAATTTTATTAGGCAGAACTTGAATATCCGACTATGGATGTAAAACTGCCAATAAACCAACATTAAGCTATGACGTCAGCGTCAGATCAGCAGATCAAGAAGGCCGTGGCTTCAGAACTTCCTAACCTCAAATGCATGATTCACTGAAATATGTGGAAATCATATATTTTGAGCAGTGTTTAAGTGTTTGTTTTACTAATGTACCATTTTTATATAACTGAGTTGCCTAAATAAAGTACAATAACCATTAATATCACTTGTTGTTATTCCATTGTATCACTCTATGAACCACTAACCTCAAAGTGCATTACTCGCAACAAAGATATGTAAACATTCCTTTCAGCCTATTTTAATATTAAATTTTATTAATTTGATTAATAAATGTAACCAAGGCACATCCGAAAAAAATAATGATATAACACTGTTACTCTTATACCATAATATTGAATCACAAAATATACTCCAGACGTACGAGAATGTAACAGTGTTACAGTAAACAAAAACAGCTTCAACTGGTACAATCAACAGAATGAGTAAAGTGTATTATTCAAATCTGGTTTGATTCATGTTTACTATTTTTATGGAGTATGTTATTTACACGTATATACATGCCATAATAAGATGGCAAGCCCATTCGATGCTTATGATGGTTTCTGTAGGTGGTAGATGATAGTCCTGCTCCTTACTGAGCTACCGATTTTTCAGAAGAAAAAAATTATATTTCAAATTTCGCTCGATAAATTTTCATTATTTTTATGGAGTATGTTATTTAGACGTATACACATGTCATACGTAAATGGCAAGCCCATTCAATGCTTATGATGGTTTCTATAGGTGGTAGAAGATAGTCCTGCTCCTTACTGAGCTACCGATTTTTCAGAAGAAAAAAATTATATTTCAAATTTCGCTCGATAAATTTTCATTATTTTTATGGAGTATGTTATTTAGACGTATACACATGTCATACGTAAATGGCAAGCCCATTCAATGCTTATGATGGTTTCTATAGTTGGTAGAAGATAGTCCTGCTCCTTACTGAGCTACCGATTTTTCAGAAGAAAAAAATTATATTTCAAATTTCGCTCGATAAATTTTGATTATTTTTATGGAGTATGTTATTTAGACGTAAACACATGTCATACGTAAATGGCAAGCCCATTCAATGCTTATGATGGTTTCTATAGGTGGTAGAAGATAGTCCTGCTCCTTACTGAGCTATCGATTTTTCAGAAGAAAAAAATTATATTTCAAATTTCGTTCGATAAATTTTGATTATTTTTATGGAGTTTGTTATTTACAAGTATACACGTGACATCATTAAATGGCAAGCCCATTCAATGCTTATGATGGTTTCTATAGGTGGTAGAAGATAGTCCTGCTCCTTACTGAGCTACCGATTTTTCAGAAGAAAAAAATTATATTTCAAATTTCGCTCGATAAATTTTCATTATTTTTATGGAGTATGTTATTTAGACGTATTCACATGTCATACGTAAATGGCAAGCCCATTCAATGCTTATGATGGTTTCTATAGTTGGTAGAAGATAGTCCTGCTCCTTACTGAGCTACCGATTTTTCAGAAGAAAAAAATTATATTTCAAATTTCGCTCGATAAATTTTGATTATTTTTATGGAGTATGTTATTTACAAGTATACACGTGACATAATTAAATGGCAAGCCCATTCAATGCTTATGATGGTTTCTATAGGTGGTAGAAGATAGGCCTGCTCCTTACTGGGCTACGGTTTTTTTCAGATAAAAAAATTATATTTCAAATTTGGCTCGATAAATTTTCATTATTTTTATGGAGTATGGTATTTAGACGTATACACATGTCATACGTAAATGGCAAGCCCATTCAATGCTTATGATGGTTTCTATAGTTGGTAGAAGATAGTCCTGCTCCTTACTGAGCTACCGATTTTTCAGAAGAAAAAAATTATATTTCAAATTTCGCTTGATAAATTTTGATTATTTTTATGGAGTATGTTATTTACAAGTATACACGTGACATCATTAAATGGCAAGCCCATTCAATGCTTATGATGGTTTCTATAGGTGGTAGAAGATAGTCCTGCTCCTTACTGAGCTACCGATTTTTCAGAAGAAAAAAATTATATTTCAAATTTCGCTCGATAAATTTTGATTATTTTTATGGAGTATGTTATTTACAAGTATACACGTGACATAATTAAATGGCAAGCCCATTCAATGCTTATGATGGTTTCTATAGTTGGTAGAAGATAGTCCTGCTCCTTACTGAGCTACCGATTTTTCAGAAAAAAAAAATTATATTTCAAATTTCAAATTTTATATTTTTATATTTCAAATTTTTTTTAGATGAAAAAGGTAAATTATTAACAAAAACTTATCCCAAAGTAATATAATATCTGATTGTTTGTTTTCTGTAAGTAAAGGCTGCATCTTTCAAATGAACAATGTCAACTATTGTAAACAACCTTCAAAGAAGTTAATGTCTATTTATTGTTATTGTGGTCATAATTATGTTACCACATTCAGATTGGATTGTTGTAATCACAAAGAATCCAATTCGATTAAGGTAAATGTTTATACTAATGTGAATGAATGTATACACCCTAAAAAAAAAACTAGAGAATTAAGTGGAGTTGCTAGAGATATCATGAAAGAAAAACTCATGCAAACAAGTGCATCTATTATTAGATTGGAGAGTGTCAAGAAGTGTGATGTTGAGGGTGTGCAATTAAACAATATACAAGATGCAAAATCTTATAGTGTTTTAAGGTTGGCTAAATCAGAAGAATTAGCTAAGGATGACTTACATAAAGATTGCCTAACCGATTTATTTTTAATGAGAGACCAACAAAGTGATCCAGAACATAGGTATTTGCAACATGTAACACATCCCTTTGAAGCTATTATTTATAGCAAAGATGTTTTACATGTTGCCTGCTTAGCAAAAGAAAAAAATAAGCAATTAAAAAGTGATTTTGTCCTACATCTGGATGCAACTGGCAAGGTTGTACGTCCAGTTGATCAATGTAATGGTAAAAGAGTGTTATATTATAGTATCGTATTCCAAACTGATGGTTCAATTTTACCATTGTCTGAATATATTACTTGCAAACATAATGCCATTTCTATTGGGGGTTGGTTATTAAAACTTAAAGATTTTCTTATTCAAGAAAATAAGTGGCCTCTTGCTCAACGGGTTGTTGTAGACTTTAGCTGGGCCCTAATCGAAGCTGTTATTGTTCAATGGAACAAAATGGACCTTACTTCATACTTAATCCATTGCCACAACTTTGTACATAACAAAGCCAGTGTGCAACCGGTCACAGTTACTGTACATGTCTGCTGTTGCCATTTTGTGAAAATATGTGTAAATAATATACATGCAGCAACATTAAATTTGCAGTCAAAGGAACGAAAATCAATTAAACAGTTTGCTTTACAAATACTTTGTTTTATCATAAACTGTACTTCATATGAAAAAATTAAAACAATATTGAGTCACACCTTCACTGTACTAATGACCTATAACAACAACTCTGAAGTCCAATACGCTTTAGGTATTTTAAACTTTGAATGCACTGTTGAGGAAAGCACATTTGAAACAGATTTTGATAGTGAAAATGAATGTACAGATGAAATGTTTCATAAGATACAAGTTGCACAACTTTATACAAAAAAAGTCCATTCTTTAACGAAATTTGTTACACTAAGGCTGAATTGTTTGCTATGCATGGTTTAGTTGTAAGTTCTTTAAATGATGAAAATAAAGCCGATTTAGACCTTTGTCCTTTATCTAAAGAAAATAGCCCTGACAGCTCAAATTTAGACTGTAGGCCTAATAAGAATCCGTTTTACTGCCCAAAATTAGCAATTCTCATTGCTAAGAGATTTGTAGCTTTTTTACCACTGTGGTCTGCCATATTGTTAAAAAGCAAAGTTAATGTTAAAGCATTAAAGAGATTAAGCAATGCCCCGGTTGAAAGTTGGTTTGGTATGGTTAAAAATGTTATTTTAAAGGGACAAACTAATCTCAGAGCTAACAGGTTTATTAGGCTGATAAGAAAGGTTATTGAGGCCCGTTGCAAAGAAATCACACTAAACATACCAAAGGAAGGTTGTTGTGTTCGTAAACCGAGGAATAATGTTGTTAAAAGACATTTAAAATTGAGCACTAAATCTAAAAACAATTCTAAATCACAGGCAGCACCGGAAAATAATAAAACTGGACAGCTTTTGCTGTCAGATGAAGACATGGATGTTGTCGAGGAGTCTTGGGAAAAACCCTCTAAGATAACTCGCCCAAGCTATTTTCAATCTAAGTACTTGCAAAATCATGTTCAAAAACCTTACGTTATGACACATGAACACCAATTAACGATAACAAATCTGATTTTAGATAATGGCTTGATTTCTGACCCTAACTATTATACTCAATTAACACAGAGAAACAATTACATTGTTTGTTCCATCGAAGGTCGAAACAACTCTAAGTGTTGCTTGTACATTAATGATATTGAACTGTTACGGGGCAAATCTTGGCTGGACAACTCTGTCATAGAGGCTGTAGGGCTTATGCTCATGGGAAAAGACAACCATAACAGTTCAATAATTCATGACAATGTTGCAACGTTAAGTCTTGTCCAAGGAGAATATATCAAACCTGACCACTGGTTGATTACAAAATCAATTGCAGATATTTCTGTTGCAGAACAGCTATTTTTCCCATTGAACATTGATAACGTACACTGGGTTTTAGGCTATGCAAACGTGAAGGACCATACATTTTACCTTATTGATCCTTCATCAGATTTTGTCAATCCTAACAGAAAAAAGTATATATTTAATAACTTTCTCAAATTTTACTCAAACATAACCAACACTAAGTTTGATGACTTAGTCAAAACATGGCAACATGGCCATTTAAGACATCCTGTTCAAACTGACAGTTACAATTGTGGTGTATTCATTTTGTATTTCATAGAACAATTAAAAACAAATGGTTCAATAGACTTGATGTTTGATGCAGACCAACATAGAATTTTGTTATTCAAAAAGCTCCTTAGCTATTCAGGCTATATGGTTAATACATGTTACATTTGCAATGTACAATTTCCCGACTCACCAAGAAACCAAAATGACTTTTGCGTTGAATGTACTGCTTGTAAAAGGTGGTTTCACACTAGTAAGAAAGGTGGTGGAAATTGCTTACCACCTGATGTGCCATGTTCTACTCAAGTGTTAGAACACATAGATTTCTTTTGTATTTTATGCAGGTACTACCAAACTAAATATTTACAACAACAAAAATAAGAGTAATAGGTTGCCTTCATTCACTGTCTCTAAGTCTTTGAAAATTAGAGGCTGTAAAATTTATATTTAAATTAAACAGTGATTATCATTATTACATTAAAAACCACATGAGAACACTGTTAAAAATCTTACTAATATTTACTAAAATCATGCTCAAGGTTTTTATATCTAATATTGGCCTACAGTCAAAATGAAACAGTGGTAAGGGTTTAAACTATGGCGAGGTAAGGAGCAGCTATAAAGGGGTGGAGGAGGCTGCAATACAAAAATTTAAATATTCAATGTAACATATAATGTAAAGCCTAAACATAAAGATAAACCATTGTTGGCAATTTGTGAGCTTACTTAAGATAAAATGGCCCAGTGGTAAAATTATGGCGAGGTAAGGAGCAGCTATAAGGGGAGGAGGAGGCTGCAATCTAAAAAACACTAAAAATTGTCACTGTAACATATAATGTAAAGGCTTAGCTAAATAATGAAAACCTCATTAAAATTAATATAAAGTGAAATTTTTAAAAATAAGTTTAATTAAGGTAAATTTACCCAGTGGTAAAATTATTACAAGTAAAAATTATGGTTAAAACATAAGGTACGGTATATGGAAAATTCCCTTTAGAAATTAATTTTGTTATTAAATGTTGTTAATAAATGAATTACTATTTATTATTTATATTTGCAACCATAAGGTGAGTGAGCGTAGCAAACAAGCTAAACCTGAAGGCAAGTGAGTGCAGTGAACAAACTCCAACCTAAAGGTGAGTATGCGTCGCTAACAAACTTCAACCACGACGTGATTGAGCGATGCAAACGAGTGTATCTTCCTAGTAAAGGACAGGATCAACTACAAACCACATATAGAAACCATCATAAGCATCGAATGGGCTTGCCATTTTATTATACCATGTGTAGACCTGTAAAGAACACACTCCATAAATATAATGAAAATTTATCGAGCCAAATTTGAAATATAATTTTTTTAGAATCTGTAAAAATCGGTAGCTCAATAAGCAGCAGGCCCAACTTCTACCACATATAGAAACCATCATAAGCATTGAATGGGCTTGCCATTTAATTATGACACGTGTATACGTGTAAATAACATACTCAATAAAAATAATGAAAATTTATCGAGCGAAATTTGAAATATAATTTTTTTCTTCTGAAAAATCGGTAGCTCAGTAAGGAGCAGGACTATCTTCTACCACCTATAGAAACCATCATAAGCATTGAATGGGCTTGCCATTTAATTATGTCACGTGTATACTTGTAAATAACATACTCCATAAAAATAATCAAAATTTATCGAGCCAAATTTGAAATATAATTTTTTTCTTCTGAAAAATCGGTAGCTCAGTAAGGAGCAGGACTATCTTCTACCACCTATAGAAACCATCATAAGCATTGAATGGGCTTGCCATTTTATTATGTCACGTGTATACTTGTAAATAACATACTCCATAAAAATAATCAAAATTTATCGAGCCAAATTTGAAATATAATTTTTTTCTTCTGAAAAATCGGTAGCTCAGTAAGGAGCAGGACTATCTTCTACCACCTATAGAAACCATCATAAGCATTGAATGGGCTTGCCATTTAATTATGTCACGTGTATACTTGTAAATAACATACTCCATAAAAATAATCAAAATTTATCGAGCGAAATTTGAAATATAATTTTTTTCTTCTGAAAAATCGGTAGCTCAGTAAGGAGCAGGACTATCTTCTACCAACTATAGAAACCATCATAAGCATCGAATGGGCTTGCCATTTTTTTATAACATGTGTAAACGTGTGAAGAACATACTCCATAAAAATAATGAAAATTTATCGAGCTAAATTTGAAATATAATTTTTTTAGAATCTGTAAAAATCGGTAGCTCAATAAGGAGCAGGCCTAACTTCTACTACACATAGCAACAATCATAAGCATTGACTGGGCTTGCCATTTTATTATAACATGTGTATACGTCTAAATAACATACTCCATAAAAATAATCAAAATTTATCGAGCCAAATTTGAAATATAATTTTTTTTAGAATCTGTAAAAATCGGTAGCTCAATAAGCAGCAGGCCTAACTTCTACCACATATAGCAACCATCATAAGCATCGAATGGGCTTGCCATTTTTTTATAACATGTGTAAACGTGTGAAGAACATACTCCATAAAAATAATGAAAATTTATCCAGCTAAATTTGAAATATAATTTTTTTAGAATCTGTAAAAAATCGGTAGCTCAATAAGGAGCAGGCCTAACTTCTACCACACATAGCAACCATCATAAGCATCGAATGGGCTTGCCATTTTATTATAACATGTGTAGACGTGTAAATAACATTCTCCATTAAAATAATGAAAATTTATCGAGCGAATTTTAAAATATAATTGTTTTTTTTTTAATCTGTTAAATCGGTAGTTGGGTAAGGAGCAGGTCTAACTGTTACCACATATAGAAACCATCATAAGCATCGTATGGGCATGCTATTTTATTATCACATGTATTGACTTATAATGTAACATAATCCATAAAAGTAATCTACATAAATCTAGTCAGATGTATGTTTGTAGTGTGAAATGCACTTTGAGGTTAGTGGAAGTAGGCCTACATATCAATGGAATAAAAACAAGTGTTATTAGTGGTCATTGCACTTTATTTCGGCACCGCATTAACATAAAAATGGTATACTAGTAAAACAAACACTTAATAACTGCTCAAAAGGTGTAATTTAAACATAAAATGTATTTGAGGTTAGGAAGTTTTGACATGTGACACATGTGTTTGAGGTTAGAAAGTTTTGATACATGCATTTGAGGTTAGGAAGTTTTGATGCCACGGCCTTCTTGATCTACTGATCTGACGTGACGTCATAGCTTAATGTTGGTTTATTGGCAGTTTCACAGACATTATCCGACTAGCTGTCTTATTTGTCGATTGTTACAATTGATAGGCGGAAAGTAAATAAAAGAAACGGCTTATAATAACACCTAAAACATATATTTATGCTTATACTGTTACTCACAAGACGTTAAATATAGCCTACAAAAAAGATGTTAAGTGGTGATCGATTTCGATTGGACACTCTAATCATCATCAGACCCAATAGGCGAATTCGTAACAGTATAAGTGTAAATATATGTTTAAGTGTTATTATAATGCGTTTCTTTTATTTATTTTCCGTAAATTTAATAACTCGTACAATGCTGATCAAGAAGTTATTTCATCAATAGGCCTAAATTGAGTTTTGGATGTTTGGTTTTTGTTTAACTTAGGCCAAGTTAAGTATGTAGGTTTGTTTATCAAAATAAAATGTTGATTGTCTAAGAAGGTTTTCACGTGATCTTTAAACCGCTATTCTTACGATTGGTTATTCTTGGTAAGGGCTCTATGTTAGGTCATAGTCATAAAAGGTTTAGCCTAATCATGAAAATAATGGCTATTTTCAATGGCAGTTCCAGGGAGGGGGGAGCTATATCTAGGGGCTAAAACCCTCCCATCGTACCCTGGAAATATAAATATGGTACTTTGGTATTATATGGAGGCCTCCCTTATACAGTGCCCTGTGGCGGTTATGTTAGGTTAGGTTACATCATAAATAGTATGACTCATCTGGTATCGTTCGATTCATAACAAAACGAGGAAAGTCCTACAAACATATTTTTGATAACCCAACCTAACATAACCGATGCAACGCACTGCAAATATGTGGCCTCTGTATAATACCAACGTAGGCTAGCTTTAAAAGTGACCAAACTGCTTTAAAAATACAGTAACAAATTATCCGAGGGTCCCCGGAACCCCCCTGGGGGTCTCCTTGACAAAGTCCCAGAACCGCCACTGCCTATTTTTATGATCATTTTGTATTTTATCTACTGTTTGTAGTCCTATTTCAGAGTTTGGTAGGCCTAATAAATACTGACCATACTACATTAGTATTTGTCTTTCAGGCTGCTTTTCCACTAAAAAATCAGAATCTGCAAGTCCAGCTAGCCGCTGTGTGCGTGTACCCTTCCAGAGTCCGGGATGCAGTTTCAGCTATCAAGTCCCTTGGTGTCAACAATACTGTTCTTGTGGCTTCAGGTATTTTTCACTTGATACTGTAAAATTATGTTTAACACGTTGGCTGCCGATCGCCTCATATTTGCGACACTGCGGTTATTGCCACAACACGAGGTATACATTTTAATATTACACATAGACCGGGTGTCACTTAGTTAACAGTACACACAGACCACAGGCCAGTGATGCAGCAAAGTAAAAAACAGTTTGGCCAACTATCATATGACATCACTAATCATCATATCCACAGACCAAGTGATGGGCACATGGGACAGACATCCCTGTAGACTACTACAGAGAATTCAGGGCCTTAAAATGAGCGTTATGAAGATAATAAGCTTTTTAATAACATTGGACACCGACGTAAATATGCAACATCAGTCTACTTTAATGTGACCAGCTGTCGCATATATACGACGACAATCTATGTGTGGGAACCGACTGTTGCATATGTGTGTCGCTGGTCCATAGTACTATTGCGGTAGCGAACGTATTAGGGATTTATCACTATTTTTTTTTATTTACAGTCTAATTACAAATCTAACTTAGTTTCTAGTAGTGATATGTGTTACTTTTTCCAAGGGTTCATCATGAAACTGGAAAAGAGATTTTGGCATATTTTAGTGAATGTATAACAGTAATATAACATACTACGAAACAGCGGGGGAGTGACCTGGTCTAGTGGTTAGAGCACGGGACTTTGGTTCCAGAGGTCCCGGGTTCAAATCCCAGCAAATCACCAATGGATTTTATCAATGTGATAATGCCGCAACCCCTAGGTCTAGCCTGAAGTAATGTGAAAAACATTTCCGGGCTCGTGCCTGGCGTCCTAGGAAAAAAAAGACAGCTTCAAAAACCTTTTCTTGCCTTTTTTAATTAGAGCTGGAATCCAAGTTTATCTGAATTCTGTTACGTACCGGTAGTTAACTTTAAAATTATTGAGTTCCTTTTCAAATGATTTTAAAAGTATAGATCTTTGTAGCTATTGACGAGAGCATTTTTTAAAGCTTTAAGCTGGTAATCAGAGCCTCTGTAATAAATGGGCCCGTGTCCAGGGGGGCAAGAGATTTTATGGGTTGTCGGGGGCTCAAGGAAGAATAAAATCGCCCTGCAGGAGAGGGGGAGGGCACAATTATCTATTGGGCCCATAGTGTGCACATGCAACCCGATTACCTGCAAATTATTGATTGACTTATTTGTTATTTATCTACACGTTCCCACTTAAAATATTACTTTGCTATTAAAGATTGGATTAGATTTATTAGATGTGATTATGTAGCTCGACTCAACAGAGTGCATATTTTATGGCAAAGAAGAATGAAGAATGAGTTTAGAATTTAAATGAAATAGTAGCTTTGTTATTTACTGGCCAAGATCAGTTGTTTATTTTGTCAAATCCATTTAAAGTCAAATGATCTAGAAAAGCTGGGCCCAGTTTTGATCCGTTGAATACCTTTTGACTTTTCTCATGATACAACCAGCAACTACGGATACTTAGTTACATCGTAACATATTCTGTAGCCTACTCACAACCGTGATTTTTCAGTCGCTGCTGGGTTTCCGACCGGACAGTTCCCACTGCACACCCGCATCGCTGAGATCTACTACGCTGTGGCCATGGGTGCAGATGAGATTGATGTGGTGATAGACCGTAGCCTCGTGTTGAGGGGTCACTGGGCGGAGCTGTACAATGAGCTGGTGCAGATGAGAGCGGCCTGTGGCGAGGCTACTCTAAAGGTCATACTCTCCGTCACGGAGTGCGGCTCCTTGACCAACGTTTATAAGGCTTCAGTCGTCGCTATGCTCGCCGGCGCTGACTTCATTAAAACTTCTACTGGTAAGTTAATTTGAGATCATGTTTGAATCTCATAACTTTATCAAACTTGGTCATTTTCCCTTTGTTTAGTTTAATTAAATGTCATTGTTGCTGAAAAATTACAATCATTATATTACAATCTTAATTATTGCTATTGGTTTTGTTGGGTAATTTTATTGTTTTAATTTACTTTTTCATAATTAAGTGAAGTACTGTAGGACAACCACTGGGTACTGTTTGTTGTTGTTGGTTGTGTATGGGTACTGTTTTTACTACCAACAGATCATTGTTGAAATGTGATTCAAGCATTCCATTAATTTAAGGGTTGTCAAGCTAATAACTGTAGCAGACTCAACTAACTGCACTGCATCTTCTGAGATCCCGTAGCATATTCAACAATCTTTCTAATACCGGTAGTGTTTCGGCAAATAGATTTAAGGTTTGATTAACAAACTGTTTTCAGTTTTACTTTAGGTCAATGATACTCTGTAGATTAAAAAAAAAAAAATACTGGGCCTGCTTCACTGACAATGTTACACTTGTAAATTTAGACACATGAGTAGATCCCAATAGTAGCCAATTTACATTCTTCAATTATTGTAGATTTTAAATATTTCTATTGCAACATTTTCATTTTTCAGGCAAAGAAGCAACCACTATGTCAATGCATGAGGGGCTGGTCATGTGTCAAGCGATTAGAGAGTTCTACAAAAAAACTGGCGTCAAGGTATTGTCTATGTGTGCATTTCTAAAAGCTAGCCTATTTATAAACTATTGTGGATTATGAAAACTAAAGGACCATTGTCCTTTAAAAGTTTGTGTTGTTGTTAAAAGTTACGCTTCATTGTCGACTGGAACTAGTCGCACACCTATCTGCTTTGCATAAAATTAAAAATAATAACAAGCTTCATTATAGAAAAATCATTCATCATACATTACATTACGTTATAGAAACCAACTAGGCAGTTGTAGAGTTTCTGTGCGAATATCAGGCTTACCTGAATGTAAAGGACCCACTCTGGCAAAAGACAGAACACTTTATAAACAAACATTCTGATTTTGGTGTGAATTGTAAAGTGTTTCTGCTTCTAATGCCAGTTTGGACTCTTTCCTATACTCAGGTTAGCCTGCTACCCCCACAAAAATATCCACCTAAGCTCCTGTTACATCTTGTTACATCATTAATTAAATCCGTATTCCGTGGCAGGTTGGGCTGAAGCCAGCTGGAGGAATCAGAACAGCCGAGCAAGCAATCAGCTGGTTGATCATGATCCAACAGGAGCTCGGAGACGAATGGCTCGACCCCAAACTGTTCCGGATCGGAACCTCAGGAACTTCATCCTTGGTGCCGAGTGTAGCAAGTGCCTTAAAAGAGGAGGTCAACATGATCAATTAGTTATGCAAAGGTAAAAAGTCATAAAGGTTGATATTTTAAAATATTATGTAGGCCTAGCTTGATTATAGTAGCAATATTTGTTTCAGAATTGTCGAATTTTGTTAAATTTTTGAGGTTTTAATAATTTTTTTGCTTAGTAAGTTTTCCATTTTAAAACGTTGAGACTAACCATTTTAAACAGTCCATGCTACTTTTTTATGGTTAGAAACTGGACACAGCTGCTGCTCTTGATCTTCGAGCGTTTAAATGGCCCTTAGTCAGTCCTTACATCAGTTAGTAGAAGGCTTCATTGATCAACCACTTCATTCTACACTCATCCTGTATTATTTTATATTCACCTTAAAATGCGTTCACTAATTTTGGACGTCTGAAATTGGTGAATGTGCAAGAAGCCTAAAGCGTTTTTTACAAAGAAATGTTCTTTAAAAATTTTTACACTGCTGTTTTATTAAGATGAAAAAGTAAGTGCTATTCCATTCAGTATGTTTGATAAATAACTCAATTTGTTTACTTATTTCTTTGTTTATCCATGTAAAATTGTAGGGAAACAAGTTTTGACATTTTTATTCATCCCACGTTTGCTGGTAAGGTTATTGCAGTGTGTGTTACATTTTAAATTGCAGAATTTCCTATTGTTACCAATTGTGATAACTGACTGTTAAAACAATTTAAGACTGATTAGAAACTATCATATTAAGATAAATTTTGTTGTGTATTTAATATAGAAATGGGTAAAATATTAGAAGTACCACAGTAGATGAAGCATAACTATTTTATAAATCTATATTTTAGAACTTTCGGTTTTTTCTAGTTTATAACATCATCATGTGCCAATGATAAAATAAAACTTTTTTAAATATTTTGTTTAATAATGAGTTTTAATTTTCATTACCTTGAGCCCTACTTAATAGCCTCTTAGTGCTTTAATACTTAGTAGCATAATACTTTAAAAAGTATAACCATTGACAGTATAGTTTGTGCATTGAGTTAGTGGTATGTCACCAGCAAGTATTGAAATAAAATGCTTTTGTAGCAATAGCAATTAATTGAAGAGTTGTAGATCAATTTTGGATATTGATTTTAAAACTTTGAGTAGGTACCTTGGTAACCGTTTAGCTTAGAATGATTTCAGTGAGGTTTTACTATCGTTTTACACATTATGCAGATATTTACAAATACTTCTGAACTCCCTCCATCATATTTATATAGACACTTAATTTCATCTTTGCCATCTAGATGGTATCAGATCAAGATGGTATATCTAGATGGTATAAAATCAAACCTATGCAAATTTAAATTCAAATTCAATGTTCTGCAAACGGATCACTTAGGACGCTCGACGCTTAGGACACGCAGCACACTCGCGCAAACCATTTCAACGTTTTCCGGCGTTCGAACAGTCTGAGGTCTCCCACTAGGTTTGATTTTGAGTGCAGAAGCCGTGTTCTGGAAATTACTTGCCCAACTTTGAATAGTTTTTGTTTTGGGGTTGCACCATTACGGCCAACATTGAAGTGAACACGAAATTGACGTTGAGTAGAAATGATAGACAAATTATTCTTCAAAAAAGTCTCTAGGACAAAGGCATGATGTTGCGGTAACCATTGATGATACATAGTAACTATACACTAAATGGCATCAAATTGTGCATATTTATAGGCATTCACTGTGGATGCGATACTCTCTGGTGTGGATTAACGTCCGCACGAGTGAGTACTACGACTATCCGCAGTACTATCCTGATAATTAGACCAATTCGTTTATACCAAGGCAAAAATGTGGTTCGGATTCCACTATAAACTGTAGGTCCCTTAGTTGCCATTAGCTGTATGGGCTATTAATTAACAGCTGTGTCTAAGGAATATGTCGGCCTTAGTCACTAACAGGACTACAAGATCGCACCACTCATCCTACACTCATCTCCATTCATACTTGGCTTAAAATACCAACTTTGTATGGTCGCCATTTCATCGAAAATTATTATTATTATTATTATTAAACATTCATTTGCCGCATCAACAAACTCTCCAGCCTTTATAACTGCTGAGTAATGACATTTTTAAATTGTCCCTATTTTTTGGGCCACCCCGTACTTGATTAATATGGTGTTAATTAAGACGAATGATGTATGAGTGTACCTTTGGTGTTATGTCAAAGGACGTCGTGAGCGGCAAGGGAGCGGCCGCGGGGTCGAGTTGCGATGGTAGGTAAAACGGTAGAATGTCCTCAAGACGAAGGCACAACACTTGACACTATCTTCGTATGTTGGTGTCTTGATCTTCATGTCGGAATAACGCACATATCTAAAGTCCATCAGGTCCAAATGAGCGTTCACAAAATGTTGTTCCTATGCGACCCTGGTTGACTGGAAAGGGAGGATTCACTGCTAAACTGACTTTACACTGGTTTATAAGAAATAAATTTAATTTAAAGAGGTGAAAATGTTATAAATACTGTATAAAGGGGCCACGGGAGTGGCAATACTAGAGAATTAAAACAACTATAAGAGGGAAAGCCGAAATGGCAGAAAGAATTAATTATGTGTGAAAGAAAGGAAAGAATTAAGTGACATGTGTTAGGTAAACCTGGCAAACGACAGAATGGGCAAGTGTCCTGATGCGACGCTAAAACTTTGCAAAAATATCCTTCCGCCAAGTTCACCAATGGGCATTGTGCTGACCCCACTAGGTTGAATTGAAAACCCCTACTCTCTCTCTGTCGGAGGCAAATATAAATGCATAAATTATGATAACAAGAAATAATAAACATTTTCCTAAAAACTTAACCATACTATAATTACTAAGTGTTGCAAAATATAATCCAAAAGAGACATATTTATAATCCCAAGGACCACTGTGGGGAGGAAAGATAGCGTAGAGCCACGACCGAAAGTTCCCGATTCCACACTCCTCCCGCTCTTCACCACATCCAACAAAACAGCCACACCCTTCTCAGTTTGGTGGTCTTACACACGTCACAGGGAATGATGACGATGACAGCACATCTTGTCAGCTGAAAAATCTGAATAAAAACAGGATCGGTTTGGGTTTATTAAAAGGGCCTTGACCCAGGATTGCAAGAGGTTTTAGGTTGGTTAGGAGCGCAAGGAGGAGAAAAATTCCCCACAAGAGGTTGGGGGAGGGGTGCAACTATCTCTCGAAACCCTTGGCCATGTAGTGTATTACGCAAACCACGGGCCTGGCTACAAATTCCATGTTCCAACCAAACCATCGAACGCAACTAGCAGTAGCTGAAATTTACCCTTCGTGTCAAATAGTCAGAAATGTAACACACAAATCTTGCCTAATTAAAGTAGTGGATTTTGAAAAAAAATATTTTTCCTTAAATGTTGAGTTGTGATTCAGCACGTATCTTAAAAAAATATAACTTATCTAATGCAGATGTACAGTTTAACCAATAACGTAATAGTCAATGGTATAACTTAGCTAATTTCGTGGATCTTAGGATGGAATTTTTCCTCTCCTAAATTGATACCCTGAGCCATCCATGCCATGGGTGATTTCGATTTGGTACTAAAAATGAACAAGTACCAAGTAGTGACGTGAAGCTGGCCCGCCCATTCCAGCACACTTTATCTTATCTTATCTGACAGGGGCAGGTCGAGACCTTAAAGCACTTCATCCGAAATCGAATTATTGCGCACCCCAGATACTTAATTGCTTTCTTGTTGACCTACAAGTTGAGGCGCCCAATGAATGCCTGTAGCTTCCCAATTAGTTCATCCTCAGGAAGAAATCTACCTCTAGCCATATTTCCAAGAGTTATCGATCTAGCGTCAGAGAGCTCAATACAATCAAAGAGTAAGTGATCAGCTGTCTCTTCTGACCTATCACAGTACCTACAGATCGGTTCACCATCATATAAGCCCATCCGTTGTAGATGTTTCCTGAATCTTCCATGACCAGTTATCAGTTCAACAATTAATTTAATTCTTCGTCTGTCTAGTCTCAAGAGGTCACAGGCAACCTAGATCGATTATCACGCTAACTATTCGAAGATGTGCTTGTAGTCAGATTTTTTTTTAAATCAGATTGTCATACCGTACTTGGTACAGTGACGTGAAGCTGGCCCGCCCATTCCAGCACACTTTTTTTTAATGTATACAAAAAAGTGTGCTCTTTATAACTGCTATTAAAAAAAGTGTGCTCTTATAATAATTATGATATAATCAATTGTATTTTGGCGGGCCAGAATCACGACTCGCCCGCCCATTTCAGCTACAGATCTATAAACCATACCAAAAAAGTGTGCTCACAGGAATCATTAATAAAAAAAAGTGTGCCGCCCCCGTTACTATACAAACAACCCCTAAATGGTAAAAGTAATAAAATGACCCAGCCCGCCCATTTCAGCTACAGATCTATAAACCATGCTAAAAAACTGTGCTAAAAGTGTGCTCACAGGAATCATTAATAAAAAAAAGTGTTTCGCCCCCGTTACTATACAAATAACCCCTAAATGGTAAGGGTATAATTAAATGACCCAGCCCGCCCATTTCAGCTATAGATCTGTAAACCATACCAAAAAACTGTGCTGAAAGTGTGCTCACAGGAATCATAAATAAAAAAAGTGTGTCGCCCCCGTTACTATACAAACAACCCCTAAATGGTAAGGGTAATAAAATGACCAAGCCCGCCCATTTCAGCTATAGATCTGTAAACCATACCAAAAAACTGTGCTAAAAGTGTGCTCATGGGAATCATTAATAAAAAAAGCGTGCCGCCCCCGTTACTTAACAAACAACCCCTAAATGGTAAGGGTAATAAAATGACCCAGCCCGCCCATTTCAGCTATAGATCTGTAAACCATACCAAAAAACTGTGCTAAATGTGTGCTCATGGGAATCATTAATAAAAAAAAGCGTGCCGCCCCCGTTACTTAACAAACAACCCCTAAATGGTAAGGGTAATAAAATGACCCAGCCCGCCCATTTCAGCTACAGATCTATAAACCATACCAAAAAACTGTGCTGAAAGTGTGCTCACGGGAATCGTTAATAAAAAAAATGTGTGCCACCCCCGTTACTAAACAAATATAACCCCTAAATGGTAAGGGTAATAAAATGACCCAGCCCGCCCATTTCAGCTACAGATCTCTAAACCATGCCAAAAAACTGTGCTAAAAGTGTGCTCACAGGAACCATTAATTAAAAAAGTGTCCCCGCTACCAATCGTATGTAATTTAGCTACACATACACATAGTCTGGATAGTCAACCTGCCCGCCACCCCAGCAGCTTGTAAACTATTTAAGTGCTACAGAATTAATGATTAGCCATGGCCCAACTGCGACTTTAAATGTCATATTATTTTTGTTTTTAATTCAAATGTCAAGAAAATAAAAGTGTTTACATACGAAAAGGAGCATTATGTAACTTTTTTATTTTGGTTTTAATAGAAAGGAATATTGTTTAACATATTTTAATACTAGCTGTACCCGCGGGCTTTGCCCCGTTTAACTTCACAAGTTAGCTCGTTCAATCACGTCCTGGTTGAAGTTCGTTCGCTACGCTCACTCACCTTTAGGTTGGAGCTTGTTCGCTCCGCTCACTTGCCTTCAGGTTAGCTCGTTCGCTACGCTAACTCGCTTCCAGATTGAAGTTCGTTCGCTACGCTCACTCACCTTTTGGCTGCAAATTGGCTGTAGTCATAAATTAAAAAAAAAAATAATAGTGCTGCACCCTGTTGGTAATCCTTGTAACTTTAATGTTATTGAACATCATAGAACAGAACCAACTTGTTTAATTGAAACAGCTGTTAAGAAATTCCTTTTAAATATGAAAAATCATAAGGTTAACATGGGAAACTCCAGAGCCACTGGGGCAGAGCCCGAATCCCCGATCAGAATAAAAACTACTTAGTTTTCCTATTTAATGCCCAAAGAATCGGTGTACCAAATTTCAGCCTCCTAGGTAAATGGGAAGTGGGAGAATTAGTGATGAGTGAGTGAGTGAGTGAGTATGAGTGAGTCAGTCAGTCAGTGAGGGCTTTGCCTTTTATATATTTAGATATCGTGAAAATTACTTATTAAAAAAAAAACTAATACAAATTACATACACATATTGATTGGTTTCTAGCCTGACAGATCTTTTTAAATAGTTTTTATTTACCTATTTAATGATTAAAGTTAACAGCTTTATTATGGGACTCCCAATTTTTAAAAGCTAGATTTTTTAATGTATATAATGCTGTTTGTAATCTTAGAAAATTTACAATCAATTATGGTACACCTATACTTAAAATTATTCAGAGAATTCAATAGATAATGGGTTACACCATTATAATCTATGGTTTATTAAGATTGCAGTGATAATCTATATATTCTATTGATTTTGAATAATCTACATTTATTTGCAAAGTGTAAGGAGTGTGTGGGCCTAGTTCTGTTCAAAACATAAACCAACATGCATACACTTGGGAAATATTTTTTTATATACAAAGCCAGGCGGCCAGGCACATTCTACCATACATTTGAACAGATTAATTGTTATCTTTACTTTACGAAGAATTCTTCTAAAACTAGCAAGCTTATATTTTACTGTAGTATACTCTAGTAATCTTGATAAATTTAAAAAATATTTATTTCAAACTTATACTCCTATAATTGTTTATTCCATGTTGTAGGTTACCAGTTTCTTGTCGTAAAAAATTTATTATGTACCCTAAATTACTATCGCTACCTTAGCCTGGATACATTTACCGAAACTGAATGCTGTGGTTTTAGACATTGACAAAATTATTAAATGCTAAGCTTTAACCCTTCTAAGGGAAGTATTGTATCCATGTTTAAGATTATGTTTGTTATAATAACTTGGTTATTTGCAGCAACTGTACGAATAAATATACTCCCTTTATTCATGGGACTTAAGTTTTTTATTGAGACCTTTTTTTCTTTTCTATAATAATCATCTAAGTTATTGGCCTACAATTCCTTTGCAAAATTAGGGTGTGCAAAATCAATTAAATTGGCGTTAATCAACAAATAATGCATTGGCAGAGTAAGATAAAAGTAGTTCAAAGAAGGAAGTAGGCCTTCAAAAATCTCACGATGGTGTAGACAGGATTCTTCATTTTATTACTCTTGCCAATTAGGGGTTATTTTTTTACTAACGGGGCGGCACGCTTTTTTTATTAATGATTCCCATGAGCACACTTTTAGCACAGTTTGTTGGCATGGTTTATAGATCTGTAGCTGAAATGGGCGGGCTGGGTCATTCTATTACCCTTACAAGTTAGGGTTTGTTTGTATAGTAACGGGGGCGGCACACTTTTTTTTATTTATGATTCCTGTGAGCACACTTTCAGCACAGTTTTTTGGTATGGTTTACAGATCTATAGCTGAAATGGGCGGGTTGGGTCATTTTATTATACCCTTACCATTTAGGGGTTATTTGTATAGTAACGGGGGCGGCACACTTTTTTTTATTAATGATTCCCATGAGCACACTTTTAGCACAGTTTTTTGGCATGGTTTATAGATCTGTAGCTGAAATGGGCGGGCTGGGTCATTTTATTACCCTTACCATTTAGGGGTTGTTAGTATAGTAACGGGGGAGGCACACTTTTTTTATTAATGATTCCTGTGAGCACACTTTCAGCACAGTTTTTTGGTATGGTTTATAGATCTGTAGCTGAAATGGGCAGGCCAGTCGTGATTCTGGCCCGCCCAAATACAATTGATTATATCATTATTATAAGAGCACACTTTTTTTAATAGCAGTTATAAAGAGCACACTTTTAGCACACTTTTTTGTATACATTAAAAAAAGTGTGCTGGAATGGGCGGGCCAGCTTCACGTCACTGTACCAAGTACGGTATGACAATCTGATTTAAAAAAAAATCTGACTACAAGCACATCTTCGAATAGTTAGCGTGATAATCGATCTATCAACGGGTTCGTTCCAAAGTAACAGAAATAGAAACAACTGCCCACCACAATTAATTAGCGTGACATCTCACAACCGTTACATTAAAAGTAGCTGGAGCTGTTACTGAAGAAGAATTTCTATAAACAGACGGTCGTCAAAAACTTGATTGGCCACAACAACAGAACAGCTGTTTGAAATTGGAACACAGGTCACGGAACGGTATTGAGACGGAGTTTGGATTGGAGTGGGAGTGGAGAGTGGAGTTAGTTGCGCTTGCGCTTGCGAGGTTAACGGAACGGGCAGGCGGAGTCGGACTCAGTCGGAGTGGATGAGTTCGGTGGTGCGGATTGGTGTGGTTATTTTGTCGGCTGCCATAGTTAGTTTGGTCGTCAAGTTTTTTATGTCATCCACAGCCGTTCTCTTCCTTCTGTTTCATCTGATCCTATAAAACGAGTTCATTACTTATCAATAAGTGTTCTAGTGTTCATTTTCGTGTCTGTTTGGTTGCTAAGACTTGAGTGCTGCAGTGTAGATTCTTCAAACCCACAAGAGGTTGATAGGAAGGACTTTCATCATTGATGCACCAGGCCTACATAACAACAGTTTTTGGAACACCTGTTTTCTCTGATGCAAACAAGATAAAAGTGTTGAAGACATGTCAACTCAGTGCAAAATCATTTGTTGGAATGGATAACAATAAGCTTCTCTAAGTAGTCGTCTACCCACTTCATAATGCCCCAGTTGCAAGATAGCCCACTTCTTACTTTGTCCCAGGTAAGAAAGCCCTGGAAGTCATAGACTTTATCATTACTTTTAATCCTTAGGCCTAATATCACTCCTGGTACATTTGTCTAATGATGGCGTTAGTTTCAAGAAATATATCATTTTCTAATGCCCGATTTGGTAAATTTTTCCTCTTTAATTGGTGTTCATTGCCTCAATGTCACAGACAATACATATTTCTCGGATTTTCTACTTTTAATAACCTTAACCGGCCTTTAACGGGCAACGGAAATAAGCTTCCAGAAAGAAAATTACTTTCTTCTTTAACAGTTGGCTTCAGACAGTTTAGTGAGAATGTGAAAACACAAGCCAAACGAGTACAACGAAGGAAGATAGCACCGGAAGATTCAACTTCGGATAAAAGAGGTATAGGAGCCTGTCAGGTCTCCGCTTATGCAACATGTGAGGAATACAATCTGGAAAAGATCAAAGAGAAATTGGTTGAACAAAATGTGTACAAACCTATTGAATCCATGGAGGATCCTTTGTCGAAGGGTGGTGCTGATGTTATACATGCGGTTGCCAACTACCCAGTGACTCCAGAGCCCCGGCATATATTTTTCTTCAGAGAAGGATCTGTTGTCTTCTGGAATACACCGGAGTTGGAATGTTTAAGTGTTCTGGATTTCTTGAAGCGATATCAAATAGGTTCGTATAAGAAAGATCTTATCTTAAATGAACGAGAACTCATGACCTATTCTTACACAACCACCGCCAAGAAGAGCCAGATAATCGCTAATAACTTTTGCCTAAGCAAAGCACAAGGTAGAAGTAATATGGAGATCGACCTGGAAAAATTCACTCTTTCTAACGCCATGTCTTTATCTGTAAAACTAGCGCTATGGGAAGCATCTCTCAACCAGTACATCGACTCGGTAGAATATGTGGTTGAAGATCTGAAATGTGGCAAGAAATTGAGGATTTCTCGTAAAGAGGTTACATGCAAAACCGGGGAATTGTTTGCCCTCCGCCACTCCATTAATCTATCATCAGATCTTTTGGATGTACCAGATTTTTATTGGGAAAACGACGATCTTGAAACTCTTTATTTGCAACTTTGTAACTACTTCAACATCCCTCGGAGGACGAGAGTAATGAATGAGAAATTGAACCACTGTATGGAGCTAGTGGAGCTTCTAACCTCCCACCTCAGCGATCGACATCACGTGAGGCTTGAATGGATGATAATAGTGTTGATTATGATTGAAGTCGTCATTGAAATTATTCATGCATCTAAGTAGTTGTGGCTACCGTTTAACAGAAGACTGGAATCAAGGCTACTAGTTAGGATAAAATGTGTATTGTGACTACTGCTAAAGGAAATTCCTGAACTCGCTTAATAGGACCTATATCAGTTTATATCAAGCTAAAGATGTAGGTTCGCCTAGCCTATTATTATAAATCTAGGCTATGTAGCCTTTGGCGATTCCAATTTGTTAGTAGGTTAATAACTTTAAATATCACATTTAGCTTAGTCTATTTAATATTTCAACTACTGTTGCCTTTTCAACTTTGGTATGAACTAAGTTACCGTTTGGCTACATTAAGCTATGTATGTTTCATAGTGATAATTGTCCTCATTATCCAGATACATTTTTTTAATGATGATTGTTCTTTATATTATTAAATATTTGCAAGTTTAAAGATACCTAGGCCTGTAATATACAGTAGACTCCCTCTTATCCGGGCTCCTCGGGACCGAGGCCAGTCCAGATAATGGGTTTTCTGGTTAAACCGACGTCCCCAAAATCTCGTTAAAACGGACTGTTTAAATGCATATAAGTTACTCTATACAGTATTTGACTTAAAATTAGGAGAGCATTGTATTTAGAAACTGGTCTCAAATCTTTCCCACAACAACAGTCGTTTCAGTACCGCCCACTTCCTGTCGATCTAAGTTAGTCCGGTTAAACCTAGCCTATTTGCTGATTAAAATTATCCGGATAAAGAGATGTCACTTCTACCGAGAGTAGTCCGGTTAAAAGGTGTCCACATAAGAGGGAGTCTACAGTAACCTTAAAAATTATTTTGCGACACCCAAATGGATTCTTTCTTATAAAAAACGAGGTTGATAAATTATTTAAAATAAGTTTCCTTAGGCTACATACTTTTATTTTTTGTATTGTTGAATTTATTGGTTTAAAAATTGATTTTTAATTTATATTCCTCAACTATTTATAGGTGTGTATTTTGTCACAGATATAGAAGTTGAACTAAAAAAAAAATGTTTGTTTTGTATTTTCTCAATTGTTAAAAATAAAATTTGTCGGTTTGATCTTGGTTTTTTGTTGCTATCTTTACCCATAGTTTTTATAATGGGGAAAAATATAGGCTACCTACTTCAAAATAACATAGGTAGGGTAGTTACTAGATTATAGATCAGCTATTGCTGAAAATTAACTAAGTTTTTTTTTTAGTGAAAAATAGTAAAATAATGTGTCAAAAAATTTGCTTGAAGGTGCTGGTTTCAGGTTAATTCTTCCTTTTTCATACCATATATTTTACAATGTGTGCTTTGTTCTTACATTTATTGTCTCTAGTTAATTGATAGAGATTGCTGCGTAGCATCTTTTATTTGAGGAAGTATGTCTAATCTATAGTCAAATATAATTCAGGTTAAAAATCAAGCTTAATTGACCATTAAAATGGTTTTATGGTTTGAAACAATGATATTTATATCATTAAACATGGTTTGTGAACTTTTTGTTATATTTCAATAGAGGGGTGACTGATACCTCGACTGATAAAGAAGCTAGATCAACATAGGTTTTTATTTCCCTTTTCAGCTTTAACTCTTTCAAAACCACATGTAGAGATCAATTTTCTCAACGGTATTTAATAATAGTTATTTACCCTGAGAAAAATTTGTTTTTCAATAGGTTGAAAAAAAAATTTCTTTTTTATTGATCAATAGATCAATTTAAATTGCTATAGATAGAAACGTGAATGATAGACCTAGGTCAAATAATCTATGAAAATTTATAACAATACTATATTAGATGGTAAACTTCTTCAATCATTTTAATGTATTCTAATGACAGAAGAAGACGGGTCAATAAAGGATTGGTCATAAAAAACAATTAAGATTTTAAACAAATTAACTAATTAAAACCGCACTGTGCAAGACGATTAAAAATAGAATTAAGTTACAATAATGTAACACAAGTATAAGAAGAAAGTAAATATTAACTAGAGCTCGCCCCGTGGTCGAAAACCCAACCAAAAGTATGTATCGTTTAAACTTCTCTATTTTCACCCTACTCTGTAAATAAAACATGTGATTGGAATTTCTTCCATTTGTTTAGATTTTCTGTTTATAATTTGTTGTTATTTGGTCACCAACATGGCAACCCATAAGGCCAATGTTAATTTTTTGTATATTTTAAATTCATTTTTCGTGCTTTTTAGCCCTATTTTATTTTATAAAGGGATTCTGCACATCTAAAGGCAAATATAAATATCTTTCCTACAATATGCGTAGATTTTCCCTGCGATGCACAGGAGCTGAGTAAAAATTTTTCAATAAACAAGCTTGTCCATTAATAATAATATAGGATTGGCCCCATGTAAAATCTCCATAAGAAAAGTTGAATTTCCATTTTTTACCCAATTAACATAAATATTCTCAAAATACAAATAAGACCTGCACATATAGGACCGATAACCTTTCTTTTGGCACAATCCGTGTGTAAATCGGTCCAGTAGTATGGTGTGGGTGGCTGTCGTAAGCTTAAACATTTGCCCCATGTTAAATCTCCATATAGTAAAAGTTCAATTTCCATTTTTGACCCAATTAATATAATTTTTTCAAAATACAAATAAAACCTGCACATATATAGGACCTTGCTTTTTGTCCAGCCTGCGTGTAATTCGGTCCAGTAGTATGGTCAGACTAGCAGTCATAAGTTTTTCAAGTGAGTAAGTGAGTAATAAAATATGCTGGAGACGATTATTATGGTGTTTAAGTTGGAAATTACGTTTGTAGGATTTTATAAACCCTTCTATATGGCTTATTCTGCCTTTACAACTATTTTGGGATATAAATAATAACCGATGTATAAATTTAACCACGCGGCCCCATGATGGGATGAGGATGTGGATGTGACCCGGATAAGGACGGAAAATAAATAATGTGAACATGTGTGCAGACAGCATATGTTTGTCGTCTGCAAGATGTGTTGTGAAGTCCGCCAACGCGCAAAAACACTAGAAAAACAGAAAATTATATCACTTGATCCGCCCCTTAGCAGCAGTGCAGTAGAGCTATTTTGGTCTTTGGATAGCGAAGTGAACCCCCATCTATAAGGATAAGATACAGCCAATGTCTTAATCATTAAGAACATAGTTTAATGGAGTTTCTTACTATGGTATATTAACTTGTATTTCTCCCTTGGTATTTTGTCACTGTGATTATGTTTCATGCAACAGCATTATAGCATGCGTCTTTCTTTTCGGTTTGGCTTGGATAACAAGTTGGCGTAGTTAACAGAAATCTGTGCTCATTTAATTTGATAGCGTAATTTGCAATCGCTCAATTTCATTGGCTTAGAAACGGGAACAAATTTATGTTATAAAAATGGCTGGTTGAATGTAATGTCATTTTTGGACGAGAAATATGAAGAGAGTATGTAAAGTATTTTATTGGTCGACAAATTACACTAGACCTCTTCCGAATAAACAACAAGTGAGTCAATATGAAAAGGAAAGATTTAACTTCAGATTGGTCAAGTGAAAATTAATCGAAACACATCGGTATGATTATTTTTCAACAGATCAGATTTCACAAAGTAAAAAATGTATTTGCAGTATCTAATTCAGTGTCAGTGATACAAGTTGCTCGGTAGCATGCAGCCCAAAGACACTGACCGCAAGTCCAGGAATAGCTACATGTTACATATCCAGTGTCGTCTGTCTGTTCCTTGAACCTGTGAGCTGTGACGTCATGCGACCTTCGTATCGTGTCGCACACTGCTCTGCCGTGGAACTGCATTCTTTACATTACTCTATGTAGCGTCTTGTAACGCTACTCTTTGTTACGTCATATATATGAAGCCCCAAATATTTGGTCACGTCCCGTTATCATAACCATAAGTAACGCTACACAGCAACTATCGTCATGAGCTGAATATCGTAAAGAAAAGAATGTAGGCTACAATTAATTGAGTTTGATGATCTGTGTGATGCTTAGATCAGCAGTTTAAACTGGGACAGTTTAAAAGCTGATGGTAAATTTAGTCAATGTTACTAGGTACTTAAGTTAAACATTTTACTTTAGCAATATGTTTGGGCAAAAATGTTGTACATCACATGTAAGCTAATCAAAACGAACTCTCTGGACTCAACACTAGGGTTTTTTGTTTCAAATCTGCCCTAAATTAAAATAAGTAAACGTGTAGACAACCTAGAACCATATATGAACTAGAACAATAAATAATTAATTGTTTTACTTTTGTCACAAGTTGTAAGATGTTTCTCAAGTAAACTGCTACCTAGGAGGATTAAAAAGACTGCTACAGTAGTGATAGTGATAATCAAACTATGTGATCGCCGGTTCCCGGAAGTGGTTCTACTAGAATGAATGAGTCATCAGATGACGTCATCGTCCCAGCTGTGAATGAAACTGGCGGCGCCTCACACTCACGTTCTGTCAAGATAAGTCCGCCAATAAACTTGAATCATCATGTGTAGGCCTAGTCATCAGGATTCCTAAAAAATGTCATCAATGATTTTGTACATAGTACATGTTGTTTTTTCATGAAGAGAGTTACCACATTGACTATGTTTACCACTATTGAAATTTCCTCGACGCAAAATGAAGGCGATGTAGTAAATAATAAATAGTCAATGTAGACAGGGTAAGGCAAACTTAGGATACTTAGGACTTAGGAAATCTACAAATTTATGTATCATAAAAGTACAATTTCTAGTCGTTATGTATCAACATTTTGCCCCCGATCCCTAAATAAGAGATACTGTATTTGATTTGGGGGCAGCTCAAAAATTTTAAATGCAAAGCCCCATCGAGTGACATCACATTTAAATGGCTTTATCGACACTCGAATGAGGTTATCGCCAATATACCCCATTACCCAAAACGTTGTATACTCGAATACTTGAATCATATCATACCATTCATATCTTGTTACACTTACATACAGTATTTTACTGCTATTCTGTAATGTAATTTAACTCTTGCGATTGCCATGCAGCAAGCCACGTTCCTTGAAACATACCCATGTCCTGTTATTTAACTAGGGTGAGGCCTAAAACAAAGCCCAGCCCACGTATGTTCCACAGCCTGTCATCAACATATTAAACACTGGTTACCGAGCTGTTGCACGTTTTGTGAATTATTCCATTGTTGCATGGGTTGGCTTGGCGCTGGGCACGGGTTGTGTGCTCAATATTAAACTAGCAACAGGTAGAATACTGTCCTGTACAAATTGTAGGCCTACATTTTATAGGGTTCAAAACTTGTTTCCGATGCAAACGAATGGTGCATTTACCTTTCAAAAATTATGTTTATTCAAGAAGGGTTTTTAGGTTATTAAAACTAGACCTACTAATTTACAAAAATTATTATTTTTTTCATTATATAGCAATAGGTTACAGTTACGACTGACAATGAAAGTTGCATATTTGGAATCCATTTTCACAAACTGAATTTCTTCTTAAAAATCTCCCAGTGTTTAAACGTTCAACTATACGGTCAGCTATTAAATTACAATTCAAATGTAAACCCGTTAAAATGAAAGTTAGTCAACATAACTGGATCTTTGAGACTCTGTAAACTAAATAAAACGCTGGAGGGAGAAGCCACGAAGAAAATGTTTTTAATTGTCATTCGCAGGTGCGCTAGCCGCTAGATCACAAGCTTTAAAATGATACATCGATTGTAAAAATTTGATATTAGTTGAAAATGGGATTTTACATAGAAAACCCTTATTGTTTCACGTAAATATATATTTCAATAACTTCTCGTCCATCTCAAAACCGTATAACATCTAGAGCAAGTCCACGAGCATGGACTGCTAGTAATGGACCGCTATGGACTGTGGGTCTCTTGGTGTTTTACGACAGTTTTTGCGCTCAGGAATCTCATCGCGGCGCTTGTGAGGTTTTTTGTCCGAATTCCCACGAGACCGAGCGAACTTTGCCGACGTTTA